CTGAGACGTGTCGGTGAGCCGACCACTTTGTCTTAGACTCAACGAGGGTATGGACAGGTTCGTTGTTATGCTAATCGGTGATTCCTATGTGCGTACCAGATGAAGGTGTCTGTAGGCTTGAGATGTCGACGGAGCTAACTCGCAATGGTCAATCAACTCATAAGTATCACTCTTTATGACACAATGCACCACTTTTCCAGTTAGACAAGCAAAAGTGCGGACGTTTTTTCAATACAAATAGAAGTCTACAAGTGACACTTACTCCGCTCCACCAACAAATTGAAAATGAGCTGGCTTCTAAATGCTACTTTTTAAAAGTCTGCCATCTTGTATGAATGCCAATTTTTGATCAAAATTTTGTTTTTCGACTCGTTTTCACGATAAGACATCACTAAGTGCAGGTCAACTTTGGCATGCATGCCAAATACAGCCTGTCCCTAGAGTGTGACTTCTGTGCTTTCCTCCCATTTTCACCAATTGGCTAGGTTTCTGGACGCTTTCTGACATTGAATAAGCGGAAGACAAAGAATAAGTTGTTGTATCAATTCTAATCTTCTTCACTTAAAAGGATTAAGCCCTATCTCCTGAGCATTCTATGATAAATTCGTTGGCGAAAACACCATCTTTGGCAAGTTCAATTCGAGCTTTACTGCCTTACAAAGTAAACGGAACCTTCATCGGCGAGACGGTATTCTGTATATATCCCAATTTATTCTCTTGGTTTGATAATGAACAACAGCTTAGTCGGAATTTAAGGAATACTAGTAAAAGATTTCCCCCATTCTATAAGGGGGACTTGTGATACCAATGGATTTCACTTAATCCAGATAGATGACAGTTTTAATCTCTTATTAAAGTAAAGTTTCGAGACTACCAGTAAATCAGTAATTTATGCTCTGATGTGTGGTCGGATTTTGAAAGAGTTCAGCCAGGACAAGAAATGGCGTAGGTCTGTTCAACAATCCTGCTTTGGATTCTTAAAAAAACTTTTTAGACGTTATTTATTGATGGTATTATTTAAGTAATATAAAATGTATTCACCCTATTTCGTCTTCGTATTTAAGTATTGTTTCGAAACTACCAGTAAATCAGTACTATGAGATGTATTCACCCAATTTCGTTAAGGTGATGAAGGACTGGTAGTAGAATTTTCCCACAATGATATGAGTTTAGCTGACTTTTCCATTGAATTTTACATAGCTTTGCTTTCCCAAAAGTTGTTCTCATCCAGGCACCAGTGGACTGCAGCTTCGACCTCTCATCGGTCTTTTCAACATCCTCAGCGGGAGTCGAACCTCGACGGTGCAGGATGGGAGCTTGACACGCTAACCACTCGGCTACACTGCCACGAGTACCCTTGAGTC